GGAAGGCCTTCTATGTTACAACTCTCAATGATTAAAGTGTTAACATGGAAAAAGGTAGGAAAAATTATAAATAGCAGTTAAGAGTTAGATTTGGGATCTTTTGTCATTTTTTCATTTCCAACTATTATAACTTCCTAGGAAAGCCATAGAAAGAGATTGGAGGCGACTTTCAAGCTTCATTTCTAGAGGAATCAGGGTGAATATTGGATTTTGGAAGATGTTCTTCTGCTCTTTTTCTTCTTCTTCTCTTACTTCTCTTTCTCCATTTATAATGTTGTTCTAAACCTTTTTTTATTAGAGATCTATGGATCCAGATTTGATATTGTGATGTAATTTTGGATCTAGACCTTAAGGTTTTAATTGAATTGAGTATTTGATTTTGTTTTTAATGCAATTATTGAACTGATCATTCATTTGATTGAACTTAGAGAAATATTCATCAATGGAAATTGAGTTTATTTCTCATATCTGAATCATATGTTTAGGTTATTGATGCCTTAGGAATAAGTGATCATAATCTAATAATCCTATAATTTCCAGAACTTAATGCAATATTTGATTGAACTTCACCTAAGGAATTAGGGTGGTTTAATTAAGTATTAGGATCAATGAGACAAGAAATTGTCCTTTGGTTAAATAACTAAAATTGATTATTAATCAATTAGAATTCTTAAGAGTCCAGAACATTATTATATTGCAATTGAAAATCTGGAGAAGTGATTCGTAACTATTTTTCACATAGAATTTTCAATACAAAATTCGTATTCTATTTTATAGCACATTTGTTACTTTCTATTGTTCTTATTTCTTATTTTTACATGTTACAAATCTTCCAAATGAATTGTGTGGCTCAACTAATTGTCAAATTTTGATGTGATAATTGAAAATATAGACCCTTGTAGACGATACTTGGGACTCATATTGATTTTCATATTTTATTATTTGCTACAACTATTTAGTATACTTGTTAGTTAGTAAATTTTACATAAAGCACATTGTTGTATTCAAAGCGTGAATATCACGCACCACAAAGGATCATAGTCAAAGGTCATGTTTATTATCATAAGGCATCAAAATATTTTCCAATTATGTCATGCTAACATACCACACAACTTTGATCTTGTGCTCTGGATATGTGTTGTTCACATCTGAGCCCTAGATTAGCTAGCAAAGTGTCACCACATAAGTGATCTATCTCTACTATAATTCTATTGGTACAAATACTAACTTAAGTGTTAGAGTGCCTTTGCAACTACACGACTCATTTTGCCATCAACCTTAGATGTACAAATGTTGTCGTAGTTGTTCTTTAAACTTTATTGGACTCACTCTTATTAAACTTCATAAGAAAAAAAATGTTTGAAATATAGTATTTAAGGCTTAAATATGTTATTAGTCCCTATAAATGTAGGTCGTTTTGTGATAAATCCTGATAAATATTTTTGTTGAGAAGTAATCCCTGGAAAGTTAAAAATTTAGGATTCAATCCCTGTCGTTAAACCTCTCTCCGTTAAGTGCTGAGCTGGCTGACAGAGAGCAACTCAGCACTCCACGTGGCCATCTCGAAGTCCAGTCACAACCTATGTGGCATGCCACCTCATTTATTATTATTTTTATTTAAAATTAATATTTACAAATAAGCCCTGAACATATTTTACATATCCCACTTTGTCGTTTTTACCTCATCTCCCACTTATTCCACCAAAGCTTCCACTCGCTATGGTCCCATCATTCAACTCTCTTTTGGTTCCCTCCATTGCGTCGTCATTTCAACCCTCGAAATCGCCAACTTTCCACAAGAATGATAATGACGTGGCAGATGTGAGGAAGATGGTTGTGGACATTGTTGAGCTGACAGAGAAGTTCAATGTTTCAGATTTTGTTTGGGGTGGGGGAGGGAGTGGTGCGGATGGTGGTAGGAGTGTGGGTGTTGGAGAGAAAGGGATCTGGGGAAGGGAGAAGGATGGTGCGGATATGAAGAATGGATGTGGATGTTGGAAGGAGATAGGAGTGTCGGTGTTGGAGAGAGAAGGATGTGGGGATGGTGTGAATAGTAGAAAGGGAAGAGGTGAGAGAAAGGGTGGTCCAGATGGTGGTAGGAGTATGGGTGTTGGAGAGAAAGGGATGCAAGGAAAGGAGAAGGGTAGTATGGATGTGAGGAATGGGTGTGGTGGGTGTTGGAGGGAGAAAGATGTGGGGAAGGGGTGGGGGTGTAGAGATGGCGCAGATAGGAGAAAGGAAAAGGGTAGGTGAGGGGGTGGTGCAATTGTGGTAGGAGTGTAGGTGTTAGAGAGAAAGGGATGTGGGAAGAGAAAAGGATGGTGTGGATGTGAGGAATGAGTGTGGGTGTTAAAGGGAGATAGGAGTATGGGTGTTGAAGGGAGAAGGATGTGGGGAAGGGGTGGGGGTGTGCGGATGACATAGGTAGGCGAAAAGAAAGGGGTGGGTAAGGGGGTGATGTGAATGGTGGTAGAAGTATGGGTGTTGAAGAGAAAGGGATGTGGAAAGAGAGAACGATGGTGCGGATGTGAGGAATGAGTGTGTGTTGAAGGGAGAAGGATGTGGGGAAGGGGTGGGAGTGTGAGGATGGCGCGGATAGGAAAAAGGAAAGGGATAGGGAAGGGAGTGGTGCGGATGGTGGTAGGAGTGTAGGTGTTGGAGAGAAAAGGATGTGGAGAAGGGAGAAGGATGATGTATGTTCAGAAGGCAAATGTACCCATCGAGAAGTAATAAAATGTTCTTAAATTAAGTTCCCAAAATATTGTCCTACAAGGATTGATTTCCAATTACTAAGAATTTTCTAATTCAATTGTTTAAGCTTCAAAGATACGAGATTAATTAAAAATAAGAATTTATAAAATCAATTATAAAATTAAGAGTAAGGAATACAATGCACGTCTTGGTTAAACTTATCGGAGAGGAACCTAGGGCATATGAGTTTTCTCATTCAATCCTTATGTTATTTTTCTGTTTAACTCTAAATCCGATTTCGTTGTGATTACCACCCAATGGTCATGCAATATTAATATTCTTTTCTCTAAATTAACATCCTCAATGCTCATGCAAGACATCAATTTAAGAAAGCTTAAGGAGCCTGTGAACTTGTTAATTTAATAATGATTAGAAGAGAAAGATTGGTTTGGTCCATCTAATCATTTGTCTCGTTTTACCCTATAGATCAATTAATTAACTAAGGTCCTGTCGCCTGACGATATAATTAATTTAAGATTAAGAGAGAAACACAATAGGATAAAATATAATCATAGAACGAAAATCAAATTTAGATTCAAACATCAGAATCTTATAAATTCATGAACGATAGTTCCTATAGCCCTAGCTATGGACTTAATTATTTATGCTAAAGAAAAGAATTAAAACAATCATAAACAAAGCCATCATCAGAAGAAATAGCAAACTAGAGTGTGAGATAAGTTCTGGTCTTCAAGTACAATCGCTTGAAACTCTAAGTCTCAGCAAGAATATGCCAAAGATCCCCTTAGAAGAGAGATGATGTGAAAGAGCAAAAGCCAAGTTGTAAAAATGGTGTCTCCTACGATGCCTCGGGTCTCCTTTTTAATAGGGTTTGAAAACCCTAAAGACTCTTCATAATTGGGTTTTCGCCGATAAGCACGGCTGTGCAAGGCCTTAAGCATGACCATGCATAGGCTCGAAGCACCCCCATGCTTGTTGAAAGGGTCTGGGCGTGCTAACTGCTCGAAACTCTAATTTTACATCAATTTGGGCTCAAAACGCACTCAAAGTTCACTTGCGGCATCTTTGTACCAAACTGCATAATTAATATATAAATTAGTGTAAACTCTAAATAAAATAAAGATCAAATATGAATATATAAGGTATAAAATAGAGCCTAATTATAGATTTATCAATGTAGATGTGAGGAATGGGTGTGGGTGTTGGAGGGAGAAGGATGTGGGGAAGAGATGGGAGAAATGAGTGGTGTGGATGGAGGAATGGGAGTGGGTGGGGGAGAGGAGTGGTGCGGATGGACTGTGGGGAAGAGGAAGGAGTGGGGGAAGGAGAAAAGACTTTTATACAATTATATAAAATAGGTTCAAGAATTTATTTGTAAATTTTATTTTTAAATAAAAAAATAAAAAAATGATGAGACATGTCACGTGGCACCACGTGGAGTGCTGAGCTGGCTGACGGAAAACCAGCTCATCACTTAATAGAGAGGGAATTAACGGTAAGTCTAAATCTTAAATTTTTAACTTTCTAAAAACTACTTTCTAACAAAAATATTTATAAAAATTTATTACAAAACGACCTACATTTATAGGGACCAATAATATTTTTAAGCATAATATTTAATGTTTTATTAATGTTTTAGCATAGTCAATTTTACTTTATGTGTGTGAGTGAAACATTCTTCTAGAAATGACTATTATTTTCAAAATTTTCTAAAAAAAAGTAATTCTATTTTTTAAATTAAAAATAACTACCAACAAACAGATTTTTCTTTTCCATTTTTTTTTTGGTAAAATTATAAAAACCAAACAGATGTCATATATCCAAGTTATGTTTTCGTAAAATATAACTCCTATCTCATATATGCGGTAGCAATGTTTTTGAGCATTTAATTGTAGGCTGGATCTTATCTAATGTCCTGTTTCTATAAAGATGGCCACAGGACAAGCAATTAGGTGAGTGGACTGGAAAGAAACCTTATCGCATTTTGGTGCGGAGTCATTTGAAGTTGATGTTTGCAAAAAACAATGCAAGTAATTGTGAATCATTGTAGTTTGGCGAGTAATACTAATAACTAAATCATGTTTGCCTTAAAATTGCGCATACATGATGTAAGCGCTGAATAACAGCTAGTGCAGCTTGGAATATCGCACTTTGATTTTGGTGCTTGACCACGTCAATTATGCAATGTCGTCTAGTGCCAAAGCTGAAACTGTCTCATATATTTGTTTTGTTTACCATATATTTCCAATCCTTGCCGATATTTAGTTAGTCCTTGTTGACACTTCACTACGCAGATTTTTGGACCCTTGTGTGCAATAATAGAGAAAAGAACCTCTAGTTCATGTATTTAACTCGCTGACAAATATAAAAACCTGTGCTTTTAAAGTTTAAACCTCAGACAGTGGTTTATGTTCCACGGTGCAGCTGAAGAACGAAAAGAAGGAAGTTAGTAAGTGACATGTAGTTTTAGGATTTTGGATTTAGAAGCAAGGGATGTTGGGATTTTTTGGAAGGACATGTCTTGCAAAGTTATTTATGAATACTCTTTTGCTGGATGTTGTTATACATATGCTCTTTGATTTAAATGATTAACTGTTTCCTCGTAGTGATAATTAATTTATTTGTTCGATGAAATCATTGTGACCTGTTTCTTGCTGTGTTCGGTTTGTGGATTGTGTGGAGAGAAAATTGTCCGTCCATTACACTGCTTTATGTCTTTGCATAAGAACTTTGTTTTTTGAAATTTTCTTTTTAATGTCACCATTCATTGAAAATCCGCGTAAAAAGAATTGTGAGAAGTATGCATACAGGGTCTATGCTTTTCTGCCCCCTCAGCTTGATTCATGTTAGAAACTTCAAACATGAAGAGTTCAAGGCGGTATGAATGCTTTTTGTTAGTACGCAGAGTTCTAATTGAGTTCAATTTGCTAACATAATAGTTGTGAGCCAAATTTCTCAATCATCTCGCAAATTCTTGTATGAAAACAATCGTTGTCAAGTATGATTAGTTTGGATGGGTTTCTATATAGGCAAAATACCAAGGATTGATTCCGTGTGTATGAGATGTTTTAGAAGAATGGTAAAAAGTGATTGTGTGGTGAACATAGTATTAAGTGGTTAAACCATAACTTTACTATGATTTATGGAAGCTGTCCTTTTTGTTTAATGGAAACAAGTTACCTTCTGCAAAGTTTATAAAAAGATTACGAAAACAATTTTTTTGACTTTTTTTATTTTATTTCAATTATTTTTTGTATAATTTATTGAAATAGAATTATTTTCAACTTATGTTAACAAGTTTTGTAATCAAATTTATAATAAAAGAATTAATAAATAGGTACTTAATTAAATTATTATCTAAATCCAATGCACGCTAATATTAGGTAGCTGAAAATTACCGAAAGTTATGAGGGAAGTGTGTTGCAAATTTTTTTCCCCGAAAGTCTGAAGCAATTTGGTCAGTACTGGAGTATCGTACAAACATCCAAATTACAGTGACAAATGCTTTGGAAAATTAACCCTTACCGCTTCATTCTTGCCAAGTATTCTTATGTTAATTATAAATTTGTTCTGAACTAGATTATGGTGAGTTCAGTTTTGACATAATCTGTGCATTCTTCCAAGTGGAGATTCAATATGTTAATTATAAATTTTTATTACCAAACTAAACCATGCTACTTCCATGTTTCTTTGCAGGATTCACAAACACATCCATTTGTACTAACGTATTATTGAAGGGGTGGGACGCATCCAACTTTTAATTTCAACCGTACGTAGACATAGGATCGTTGGCAATATCTTTGATCTCTGACTATATATTCACGTGAAGCTTTCTGATCTCTAAACTTCAAACATATACTACCCACAAACTCTCACTCGTGATATCTATCATGGAGGCTAGGAACTTGTTGCGCTTCATGGTTCTTTCAGTCGGTGTAGCACTAGTTATACTTATCACCTGGTTTCACCTACCATCACTTCCCAACAAGGAGGCTCTAGATTGCAACCTTTACTCTGGATGGTGCACCTCAAAGAACCGCTTCCACTCTTCAGCAAAGCCTAATCTTATCAAGAAACCACCTTTGTCCACTAATCACAACCGCCAAAACCACGAATCAGATGTTCCTCAACACCCTCTGGACCCTTTAACCATCCAAGAATTCCACAAGGTCCGCACCATCCTCTCCACTCACCCCCTCTTTTACTCATCCACCTATTCCCTCAATTCTATTGTCCTTGAAGAACCAGACAAAAACTTAGTCCTTAAATGGCAAAAAGGTGATCATCCCTTGCCTAGGAAAGCTTCCGTGATTGCAATTGTGAAGGGTGTCTCCCATGTACTCACCGTGGACCTGGGAACCGGTCTCGTGACTGACCACGAAACCGGTTCGGTTTCGGGGTACCCGACCATGACCGTGGAGGAGATGGTGGGAGTACTAGATGTACCCCTCAAGAGCCCAGAGTTTAACCGCACAATCACCCAACGTGGTGTCAATTTAGCTGACCTTGCATGCTTGCCAATATCTTCAGGGTGGTATGGGACTCCAGTGGAGGAGAATAGAAGGTTGATCAAGGTGCAGTGCTATTCCAAGAAAGGCACTGTGAATTTTTACATGAAACCAATTGAAGGGATCACTGCCTTGGTTGACATTGATAGAAAAGAGGTTTTGTCCATTTCGGATAATGGCCAAAACATTCCTGTGGCCAATGGCATTGACACTGACTACCGTTACTCCATTCAAAAGATCAATGGAGAGTTGAGGCTATTGAATCCAATATCCTTGGAACAACCAAAAGGTCCAAGCTTTACAATTGATGGACACTTGGTGAAATGGGCAAACTGGGAATTTCATCTGAAACCTGACCCAAGAGCTGGGACCATAATTTCTCAAGTAAAAGTGAGAGACCCAGATACATCAAAGTTAAGAAATGTCATGTACAAAGGGTTCACATCTGAGCTATTTGTGCCTTACATGGATCCCACAGAAGGGTGGTACTTTAAGACATACATGGATGCAGGTGAGTATGGGTTTGGGTTGCAAGCGATGCCACTAGACCCCTTGAATGATTGTCCAAGGAATGCTTATTACATGGACGGTGTGTTTGCCTCTTCTGATGGAACACCGTATATCCAACCCAACATGATCTGCGTTTTTGAGAGCTATGCTGGTGACGTTGCGTGGCGACATGCTGAGTGTCCTATCACTGACCTTAAGGTACATACATAGTAGTGCTAGTGCTTAATCATGAATATTCATATAGTTACGAATTTTGGCCATTAAGCATTTTACCTTGCTATTAAAATCATTCAATCGATTTTATCTTTAATTTATTTTTTGTTTGTTCTATTTTCGCAGGTCACGGAAGTAAGGCCAAAGGTGACGTTTGTGGTTAGGATGGCAGCGGCCGTGGCGAATTATGACTATATCATGGATTGGGAATTTCAAACCGATGGGCTAATTAGAGCAAAGGTTAGTGATGAAATTCCGATTTCGTTTCTCTATATTCTTGTTTAAGGAATGGTGGTGAGATTCATATATACAAGAAAAATGTTTAACGTTTAAAATAGACAACTAAAAAATTTTCTTCCTGTATTTGAAAGTTATCTTTGAGACGTATTTATATAAAAAGTAAATGATTATTATATATAATACTTATCCGGTATCAATTTTCTTGATAATCACTGAAGAGTTTCTTGTTTGCTTTCTCATAGTTGTGTATAATAAACTAATCAAGTGATGTGATACATTAACATGATTCCGATCCGAAATTCGTGAAAACATTTAATATTGATGATCAAGTGCACAGGCCTTGTAGGCACCAGAGTTTTTCAATAATTTCTCCCATACGCAGTGTGTTTGAAGTTATAAATTGTCATGTTGCTCAAGTAATAGAAAAAGGGGCAACTTGGGCAATAGATTAATGGTTTAGGGTAAGGGTGGATAAACTTTGACAACTTGATGTTCATGTTTTGTCTTACTGTATTTTATATTGAATAATTTAAGCTAATATCTAGGAATTTGTCTGGTGCAGGTTGGACTAAGTGGTATTTTGATGGTGAAAGGAAGTACCCATGAGAATATGAACCAAGTTCGAGACCAAGAATATCTCTATGGAACCCTTTTGAGTGAAAACATTATTGGGGTAATCCATGACCATTTTATCACATATCACCTAGACATGGACATTGATGGTTCTGACAATTCATTTGTCAAGGTAAATATAGAGAAGCAACAGACCTCTCCAGGAGAATCACCTAGAAAGAGCTACCTGAAAGCAGTGAAAAAAGTGGCAAAGACAGAGAAAGAAGCCCAAATAAGGCTTCAACTATATGACCCATCTGAATTTCATGTGGTTAACCAGTTGAAGAAGACAAGGGTTGGTAACCCTGTTGGGTACAAGTTGGTTCCAGGTGGCACTGCAGCTAGCCTATTGGATCCTGAAGATCCACCACAAAAGAGGGCAGCTTTTACCAACAATCAAATATGGGTCACTCCCTATAATAAAACTGAGCAATGGGCTGGTGGCTTATTTGTTTACCAGAGCAAAGGCGATGATACTCTTCAAGTATGGTCCAACAGGTCAGAGATTCTTTTCATCGTTCCACCATATTCTTATGCTAGAATATTCTTATCTCACGGTCATCAAGCCAATTACGTATATTTCACGAGTGATATATAAAAATAAAATATAACAACTAATATAACATTTAAGAAATAGTTTAATCAAAGGAAAATTAATTTAATGATAGTAAACATAAATTGGAATAAATGAAATACAGATATTCAAAAAACAATTATTGAAAAAACTTAGAATTTGATATAATTATATCTTGACGATAACATAAATATTTTGTTATATTCAATGTTGATTGAAAAAGCTTAGTACCAATTATAAAATTAAGAAAATTTAATTATTTTACTTACTGGTAAGAATTTTTAAACTTATATTAATGTAAAAAGATTATATATATATATATATATTATTTTAGAATAAATATACATATAATTTAATAATTCAATAACAAAATTAAATATTTTTATAAATAGTTATATATATATAATAAAATTACTTTAAGCAATAATTTTTTAAAATAGTATTTTGATTTCATTTTTTAATTATGAATACTATATATATCAAAATGATAAAAATTTGATAAATTTAAATTATTTTAAAATATAATTTATGTTAAAATAATACTTTTATTGTATAGTATAAAAAATTAATTAAATATCAATAATATATATATATATATATATTAATAACCATAAATTTAAGAGAATACATTCTTAAAAGTAAAACTAAATTTAAAAATAAAAAATTTAAGATATTCTTTATAAGTGTAAAATAATATATTTATGAAAAATATAAAAAATTATATAACGTACTAATAAAAGTTAAATAAAAATTTTAATTTTTAAACTTTAAAATAAAATTAAAAATATAGGTAATAATTGCAACAATTGCACCAAAAATAATATAATTCACATATAATTGTCAATCAAATTTAATCTTAAAATATAAACGTGACTTTATTAATGTTTCTTAAAATTTTATTGATAATATGATATACAGTAATTTATGAGAATAAAAAAATAATTTTAATTTATAATAATTAGAAAAGGAGAGAAGTAATGTAACTGGTTGTATTTTCATTGATCCAGTAGGGTTGTACATATATATACACAACAGCTAGTACTTAATTTTCAAGAATTATGGCTAGAAATGATATGGAGAGGTCAGATGCCAACTAGTTTCCTAGAATCATGGCTAGGTTAATATGATATGCTGAGATATGATTTGCTACAAATCATAAACTTATTTTTTAAACAACATTTGCTACCTGTATAATCTGATCTTATCGGTATACATAATCATATTATAACCTATCCAATATTTTTTTTTTACCATCATAAGTAAATAAAAATAACTTAATAATATAGTCAAGCATCATTATTTGAGAAAGAGAATAAGTTACCAAATAGAAATATTATGATTTATTATTTCATATTCTAGTCTTTGTCATGGTTCAATTAAAGGAAACAATTTTTCATATACACAATTAACTCAAGTTCAGTAGACAGCTCACTCATCTATTGCTTAATTTTTCTGATATCAAATTAAATTGTTTGGATCAAATTAATCAATCATGTATTGATTGAAAATTATATATACTATGAATTTGAATTTGTTGTCTTATTTTACTTGTGAACACGTCCATTATATTCTAAAATTTTTAAATCGTTGACATTTTAATATGCATTGACATGCAGGGATCGTCCAATTGAGAATAAGGACATTGTTTTGTGGTACACAATAGGGTTTCATCACATACCATGTCAAGAGGACTACCCAATCATGCCTACTGTATCGTCAAGTTTTGATCTGAAGCCTGCTAATTTCTTTGAGAGAAATCCAATCTTAAGAGTGCCCCCCAATTTCAAAGAAGATTTACCAGTTTGCAAAGCTCATGATTCAACTTGAGATCCCATCAGTTGTTTTAGCAAATATTTAGGATACATTTGGATTCACAACTTAATTAAGTACTTTTAATTAGTATTTTTCAAATAATGACCGATACTATATTTATCTTTAAACTTTACTGGGAAAAGTTAAAAATAGTATATTTTGATCACCTATATTATAAGTTTATTGAAATAAAATTAAAAAAATTATGAAAAGCTTAGAAAAATAGTTTAGGATTTTAATAGCAAAAATAGTTTAGGATTTTATATGTTTTTATTTTTTTAATGAATAAATTCACAAATGTGTCTCTTTAATGGCCGTGCATATTACTTCCTTATAAGTTTAGCTATCCAACGATTTCGTAGAATAACAAATCATTGTATTTTAGTAAGGTCAAAAGTAGTTTTTCAATTATAGTACATATACTTTTGGCCAAAAAGAAAAAAATAAGAGAAAAAGTTTCGGAATCACTTTTATCAATATGAATGCTCTGTTGTGATTCCAAAACTTCAAAGAAAATAGTATTTTGTTTTTAAAGGACATACGAATGTTTCTAATGGTCAAGAGCTCTTTAAAAAGAGTTCACTTTAGAAAAAAACAATTTAAGAGTCTTGAAAAACCTTCCAAATGAATAGGAAGAAAATATCACATCCATTCACAAAAGCTAGGTTTTTAAGATTCATTTATCTTGAAAAACTTTTAAGTTATTTAAGAATATAAATAATCTAATAAAACCAAAAGAATTCTAAGAAAAAGGATCACTCGCCTCAAAATTAATGAAGAAAAAGTTATTGAAAAAAGGTTCTCCTTTTAATACTTTTAAAGTTGAAAATTTTTATGTGAAAAAAGAAAGAAAGTTCAAGCCTATGAAACAGCATAACCGGGATAAGTATAAAGACACATTATCTTTAAACAAAATTGATTTAAATTGTTTTAACTATAGAAAATCTACACACTACAAATCAAAATGTCTAAATTTAAAAGACAAAAGAAAATATATTAAAAAGAAAAGTTCTATGTCATTATAGAAAGACTTTGATAATGGTCAATTAAATAATGAATACAATGCATATAAAAAAAGCTAACATATATTTTTATAATAAATAGTAAGCTTTATACTAAACAATCAATAGAAGTAAAAAAAGCTTTTAATTCTAGGTATTATCTTATTATTTATTTATTGAAACATATGACAATCTTCATAATGATATTCTTTCTTTAGCTAATATATTTTCTAAATTAAAAAAAAATATAAAATTATTTTACAAATAAGAATAGAAAGAATCTAAATTTTTGAAGCTCAATATAAAAAACATAGATATGAGATCTTATAATATTTTATTAAAATTTAATGAAACTCAAGTCTTAAGTGAGACAAATCATGTAACACTTACTGATTAAACTAATTAATTAATGTATTAAATTTGATATTAATTTAATATAAGAAAAAGTTTTCTTACTATTTATAACTTTGGTTGTAACATCTTTATTTTTAATTAACATAATAATAGTAAAAAAAATAAAAAAATCAAAATCATCAAAATTAGAGAGATCCTGAATAATAAAGTTTAAATCGAAAAACTTGAATAATAAAACATTAGTCTTTAAAACTGGTAAATAAACATCAAATATTGTAATTATAATTTGCTTCATAATGTACAACATATATTTGTATTTCAAATACACATAAAGTTATCAAAATACATTAGGACCATTCATTTACATTTACAAGTACTCAAAATTCCTAATGAGCAGCCTAATCACCCTTTAACCAAGTGGCACTAGTCATCTGTGTGCCAATCTTCTATCATCGATAGGTCTTCAGCAGTCAACTTGTCATCTAAGCCAAGATACTGATCGTCCAGGTTTGCGGTGACCTAAACACCTGTAATATGCTCAATCGTCCATCGCGATGGTACTCTAGACTGATCGTGGTCATGGTATGTAACAAGATACGTTACTGCTGCAGGGGTTCTCTCAACACCAGAAAAGAGATAAATACAGAAGGTGTGATGGATTCTATATACAGACAAATCAAAAGGGATACTAAAGGTTAGCTCCAATTCCATCATCACTACCTCACTAGGCACCTCACTATCATGTACAAGGATTCTAAAGGAAGTAAATCTCTAATACTCGCCAAAAACATCATTTATTATATTTACTTATGAACTATCTACTATTCTAATTCCCTCCCTGGGTGTCGTCATCTGGGTTCCCTAAAATGGTTACGTAAGGATGAGTCTCCACATTCATTCCCAAGCATACACACTCAAAGAATTCAATAATACAGGTCAAACATTTAACATGCATCATATAACTAATTCAATTATGCATTCAAATTATGTTTCTCTATTTATTCTCTCATTACTCATTTCCAAACTCAGTACCATTCTCATTTCCACTGTCCCTGTGATCCCTTGAGGTCTTCTTTAGCATAGATAGTTGCTGGATAGTCGCAACTACACGGATACAACGAGTGCCAACCCGGCCTTTTTTAGCAAAAATGTGATCAGGAGTATAGGTCACGAAATGAGTGTGAGGCCCGTGGTACTCCTACTCTCATTTATAGTGCACAATTCAAGAAGAGCATCCACCACCCTCATTTTTTCAAGACTTTTCAGCCTTCTTCATCTTTCACACTCCCAATGTACCTCTGAACTATATATACTTGTTCTTTTCTTATTCATTCTGATTTCCTTTCTCTTTCTCTTTTATATCTCATCTTTCTATATCTCTTTCTATTTCATTATATATTACTTTTTCATTGCCGAGGGTTATTCCTCTCGGACTCAGTACATCATACACATGCTCAGATTCAAACATATCATACTCATCATATATCATTTTCAAACATCACAGAGCGTCTTTTAAACACATCAATCACATGTTATCAATCAAAACATACTCATTTCAAGCATTTTCACCTATAAATAAAATAGTTCCTAGCAATGAAATAGAGTTCTCTTTACTGTGAGACGAAGTTTTGAAACAGATTTTGTGAAAGGTTGAGTGAAAGGACTAAGATTTTCCTAGATATCACAAAAGAGAACATTTTGAGAAAGGAGAAACTTAGAAAGCACCCAAAAAGAAAAACAAAGCTCCAAGAACTTACTTGGAGTTGATTGATGAAGTTCCCAAGCTTGGATTTGTAAGAAAGTTGAGATTTTCTAAGAGAGGATTAGGGGTCGAGAGAACAAGAGAGAGCTCGAAACTTGGATTGTAATCCAAGTTTTCTAACTTGAAAACCCTTAAATATCCCTGGACTCGCGACATTCTCGCTACAGCGAGAAATTTTTGCTACAGCGAAAAAATCAGACAAAATTGCTCTTTTCTGTCTGTCATTCTAGCTATAGCGAGAGCTCCTCGCTACACCGAGAGAGCATCAGAGTGCCTGATTTTTATGCTGATTTCTCGCTACAGCAAAAAATCTTGTAACTCACACATCTAAAACTTTCCTAATTTCAAGCAACACGCATTATCAACTCACATCAAGTATAAAATTAATAATTAATAAAGTAGGAATGTTACATTGGTCATGTGCAATTTAGACCCAGAGTTTTTATATTGTGCAATGTAATGTACTATACTCCTACCAAATTGTGCAAAGAAACTTTCATTACTGAGACATCCAATCTAACCATTAACTTCTGATGTACTTTTCACATTCATAGTTCAATGGACAAAAATACCCTTATTTAAAAAGGGCAAAATGCACTTTATCCCTTTGCATGTTTGGTCATATGCAATTTAGATCCTAGCTTTTTTAATTATGCAACATGATCCCTATACACATGAGAAGCATATGGAGAGTTTATAGTCAAATTGTATATATGAGCAATGAAAGAGTTTCTTCACACAATTTGGAACTATAAAGCATTACTACCTGCACAAAATGTTCTTAGCTTATAAGGAAGCATGGCAGCAGTACGTAGTCAGCAAATATTACTAGTTAATTTACAAATTCTAAAATGTAAAAAATAGAAATAATTAAAGAACGAAATAGTACCAAAGGTAATTTATTTATATAAATAAATAATTACCTATACAAAATATTCTTAGCTTATAAGGAAGTATAGCACCAATATGCAATCAGTTTACTAAAGCCAAAAACAAATGCACCTATTACATGTCATCAAAGTGTGACATTGTCAAAAATTTGCATTTGAACACAAAACATTGCATGAAAGGCAATAAATACAAAAAATTAATGCCAACAAAAATAGATCCTAAATGTATTACGTAGGAGCATCTATGGTTGTCCAGTTGCCGTTGCAATAGCAACAGATGCTAATCCAGGATGCCTATTCTTGGCCTTTTTTCCTCTTTCACATCTTGACAATAATTAAATAAACAATAGAAAGTTAAGTAGGTAACAATATACACAATAAACAAGTAAATTTATATAATTTAAAAAAGAAAGAATACCTTCCACAATTTTGCTAGTAATCTCAAGCTCCTTACTGACATTCAACTCCAAAAATAGATTCAACCCTGATTTTAACTAGTTTTGAGTATATACCAAAGCTTCAGCCATCTCAGGATTTAATAAAGCCTTATATACGTCCAACAATCTGTGGTTAGAGCTATCCTACTAGTGTTGGCTTTAAAAAGCTTTTTTAACACTTCTTTTTCATTTAGGTATACCTGAAAATAGTTCCTAGCTACTGTGCGTCTAGAAGGTACAGAAAATTGGGGTTGAAAGACCTTAAGTAGCTTTCTAAAGCTAACACCCTCAGTTACACAAAAAGAATGTTCATCAATCATGATGTAACTAGCTACTGTAACATCCATATTTAATTTATACAATTTGTAAAATAACTTTTATATCAGAAAGAGATAACGAGATAAAATATACATATAATTATATTATGGAACTCATTAAATTTTTAAACTTTCATTTTTTTTATCCAGCTTTACAAATAATATTATCAGTAAAGCATTAAGAAATAAATAAAAGAAAAAAGTTCTATGTCATTATAGAAAGACCTTGATAATGGTCAATTAAATAATGAATATAATGCATATAGAAAAAGATAACATATAATTTTGATAACGAATAGTGAGCTTTATACTAAACAATAAATAAAAGTAAAGAAAACTTTGAATTCTTATGATGAGGTATTATCTTATTATTTATTTACTGAAGCATATGACAATCTTCTTAATGATATTCTTTCTTTAGCTAATATATTCTCTAAAATTAAAAAATATATATATAAATCATTTAACAAATAAGAGTAGAAAGAATCTACATTTTTGAAGCTCAATACAAAAAACATAAATATGAGATCTTATAATATTTTATTAAAATTTAATGAA